CTGGGGGACGTCAACATGCTATCGGTTCATTTTGGTGTGTTGTATCTATGTGTTGTATCTAATACACCGCGACAGGCACAAAGATTCACCAAAACACGCGAAATGCGATTGCGAAACACAAGCCAGCTCTTCTCAGGGCTATTCGAAAATTCAACAACTACTGTGAACAACTAGCTGCAATGTACCGACCTGATTGGGAGCTGCCACTCCCAGATGCTCTCCCTGTCAAACTCAATGACTTGCGCAACAGCCCGTTGCTCATGGAGGACATTTGGATCACTCGTACCGCGCTGGAGGTTCCACGTTGGCTTGAGGAAGTCGAGGTTCGGGTGGGAATACGAGCAATGTTAAAGCTCAATCACTGCTTGGAGGAACACCGTCGATTAGGCGTTGAGGCGGACAATCTTTGCCACTGGTTTGGACAGGAGCTCCTCGCCCTTGAAACAGCCGTGTTGTCACCTTCCAGTGAGTCTTTCCCCTCCAACGAGAATAAAATTATTAACCCTTGGTAGACCAAACTATCCAGACACTTCTCAAGAGCCATCGTGACACAAGTGGCTACCATCTTTATCATAAAACTAAGGCACTTGCCTGTAGAGCTGTGTGTATAAGTCCACAAGTTTTATGAAAGGCCTTTCATAGGTGTGTCCTGTGTCATTCTTTCTCATAAAGGCTATGTTCTTTTCATAAAATGTAGGCAAAGACCACAGGACCCTTTCATAACATTTCTTAGGAGCTTTCATAATTATTATCATGCACTTTCTATGAATTTTTCATTGAAGCTGTTCAGTTCTTTCATTGTACTTTTCATAATTAAACCTGTGTGCTTTCAATAGGTATTTCATTCACTGGGTTAGGTGTATTCATTGCCTTTTTCATAATTAATGCTGTGCGCTTTCATTGAATATTTCATTAGGAATTTTAGGTGCTTTCATTGCTTTTTTCATAATCAATCCTGTGTGATTTCAATAAATATTTCATTGACTATGTTAGGTGTATTCATTGCCTCTTTCATAATTAATGCTGTGCGCTTTCATTGAATATTTC